CAATACAGAAAGATAAATTTGAAGCATTCACAGGAAAAAGGATATACCTTGATTATAATATTAAGTGAAATAAGTCAAACACATAAGCTTAAATCTCACATGGTTTCTGTCATATGAGAAACTGAACAATACATAAATAAAGAGCTAAACAGAAGATAGACATAGCAAGTAAGGAGATCTTTTTCAAATGGATGAGGGAACAAGAAATGGAGGAAGGAGAAAAAAAGGGGGGAAAGAATAAAAAAGAAATGAAGAAAATATAGTTCATAACAATCCATTGTAGGTTATTTTGCCAATGAAAAGGAGAGCAAGAGTTGGAAGGAGCAGGGAAAGAGGGGAGGAATGAGGGAAGAAAAAAATTAGATGCATTATATACATGTAGTAATTTCCCATGATAAATGTAATCATCGATTATACATATGTACCAAACTCCCCAAACTCATTATACATCACAAATATTAATGAAAAAAACAAAAAACAAAGTTCCACAAAAAAGTACTGCCAACAATGCAGAAAAAAAGGGATCTTGAAAATTGTTGGTAGAAATATACTGTAAATTAGTGTAGATATTATGGTGAACAGTGTGAAGGCCTCTCAAAAACTAAAAATAGATCCAGATCTTCCACTTCTGCATATGAAATGAAATTTTAAAAATCAGCATATGAAAGTATAACACCTTCACTTCCATGATTATTATAGTAGTATTCACATTATCTAAGTTATTAAATCATTAGAAGGGCCTATCTACCAGCAAATATTTTTAAAAGGTGATACATATATATATATATATATATATATATACACACACACACACGCACTTCTAGGTTTGACTATGTTAAGTAAACAAAGACACAGAAAGATGAATACTACTGTTCTTTCTCTTTGTTGGAACTTCAACAGTTGTCAAAGTAGGAAGGAAGGAAGAACAGTGGTAGTTTGAGTAATGGTTATCAAAATATAGTTAGATATGAGGAATAAGTTCTGGTGTTTTCCAACACAGTGGGATGACTACAATTTACAATAATCCATTATGTGTTATTTTTAAAGAACTGGAAGGGTGGATCTTTTTTTTTTTTTTTGTATTTTAGGGAAGGGTCTACAGGGTGTTCAGGGTCTCAGGACTAGATCTGACTCTTCATCCTCCTGTTAACACCCTCCAAGAGCTGGGATTACAGGTGCATACCACCATGCCCAGTCTCAATTGCTGGCTCAGTACACCCCAGGGACAGGGCTGGCATGGCAGACCTGGGGATTGAACCTCTGGCCCCTGCACCTGCTTGCAGGCACTTTAATCCACTGAGCTATTTGGCTAGCCCAAAGGGTGAATCTTGAAGGTAGCAAACATAAACAATGGAAACGTTACTCTGATTTGATCAGTACATATTATATACAGGTATTTAAATAGCTCACTGTTTTGTACATATGTACAAAAATGTGTTAAAATTTAAAAATAAAGTAATAAAACCTTATGCCTGAAAAATCTGAAAGTCTATTTTTAAGTTACTAGAATTACAGTTAATTCATGCATCAGTTGCCTCATGCAGGGGCCAGGGACATAGCTCAGCAGAATAAATTGAAGGGTCTGAGTTCAATTGCTGGCTCAAAAAAAAAAAAAGTTGTCTCATGTTTTTCTCAATTATTATTCCTCCCTCTCTATCCCTAAAATGACTTCTGAAAAATCAGTTTTTTCTTCACTTGAACTATATATAAATATGCCATAAACACTTAATATTGTGTGCATTATTATGTTTAGGCTTTTTACATTTGGTTGTCTATAAACACAATTCATTGCTATATAATTTAATGTCTTTGTTTTGGGACTATTAATAAGCATGAAACAGTTGTTGCAAATAATTCTGCATGCGTGCTTCTATCTCAGTTGCACACATACCCAGATTCTAGGTTTCAGAATATGCATATATTCATATTAAGATGAACATAAAGCTGATAATTTTATAAAGTGAATATATGAATTTATTGTTTCAGTGGAATATGGAAATTTTCAAACACTAGCAACATTATTAATGTGGTTGTGCCCTACAGAAATATAATGTTTTAATTAACACTGAAGAAAAAAAACTGCAGATATCTTAAAAATGTGTTGCTTTTATTTTGCTGAATTCACACCCTACAATATATAAATGGCAATGGAATATCAATCTCTGACAAAACTAAAAAAAATGGGATACAAATGAAGGACCATTTTTGTGTCTGTATATAGAAAATAGGATAAATATACAGCTACTTTTTCTTAATTCAATGAGAAGAAAGATTTGTACTAATAGCATTTGGACAGGATATCATGTCTGCGTCTTCTACCAGAATAACCACTATGAAGACAACCATATGCAATGTATTAATTATTGAAACTATCCTACTAATTGGTTTTGAAACTGTCTCGTTGCTATTTGTTTCTCAATAAAATTAATTTAAAAAAGTGTTGCTTGGTAATTTCAGCATTAGGTAAACATAGCAGTGCATTTAACATAAACAGTGACAATTTACTTAGTCATACAATCTTAAGAGACCAATGTTATATACATGGTTCATTACTAAATGAAACATAACACATCACAATATGTACGTATTTATATATTATTTATTGTTTGTGGGTTTTTTGTGATACTTGTTGAAATTTCTTTTACATTTCTTTATTCTTTGCCTTGAATAGTCAAGAGAAATTGAAAGTAAAATATGAAGAAAAACAATTAAGCTTGGGAATCATACAGCTGATATCAATCAATCAATGGCTTCTGAAATAAAGAAACAGCTGCAGTAAGGTATAGAGGAACTCAGATTAGAAATGCAAAAAGAAATTCCTAAATTAATATCATCTGCAGTAAAGAATGAAATGCAGAAACATATGGAGGAAACCCAATGCCCACCCAGAACAAGTGCAGAGGACACTAGCTCAGTTCCAATGTATGAATTAATAGCTTTGATAGTAAATAAGCAATAGCAGAAAGTCATAGAGGAACTCAGAGCAGAATTCTTTTCTACTATCTCAGCTCAAATGTATGAATTAATAGCGTCGATAGTAAATAAGCAACAGCAGAAAGTTATAGAGGAACTCAGAGTGGAATTTTCTGAAATAAGAAAACAATTCTCAGAATTCATAGCATCTGAAGTAAAGAATCAACTACAGAAACATAGGGAGGAAACCCAATCTGAGAAAAACACTGCAGTAAAAGAATTAATAACTGCTTCTAAAGGAGACAATGATAAAAAAAAATAGAGGAGATTAGAAAAATGACGGATTCCTTAAATGAGCAATACAGGAAAGAAATAGACCACATGAAGCAGAGTCAAAGAGATATAGAGGAATTTAAAATCTCAATCACAAGCCTGCAAAACCGTTTAAGTGAAAGTGAAGACAGAGTTTCAGATCTTGAAGATG